CAACACATTTAAGCGGATTACAATTTAATATTTCTCACATTGTTTATCTGCAATTCTACATTCTGTTTGTTTTTGCCTGTTTGTCGGAGTTTCGGGGCGGGTGGAAGTATAACAATCCTGTCGATAGGCAGGCCCGCGACTCTCTCCGGGACACATGGGTTAATTAGCCCTGACAACGGGTCGGGTACGTGTACAACAAAAAGTTGATGACTCTTTTTGTACATTTTAATTGTTGCAATTAATGTGCCACACGAAAAGAGACAGCAGCAGGGAAGAAGTTCTGCAAATCATCAACCATTTGTTAAAGAAGTTGATGCTTCGGATGCAGGGTGGAGTGGTGGAGGGGATTTAGCAGAAGGAAGACACATTCAGAGTTACATATATGTTCAAACATATGTACACACATATTTTCATATTTGGGAAGAGTGTAATTATTAATGTATGGAAATGTTCGTGCTAAAAGTTCTTGTGATCAAAGATTCAGACTTTTTCAGATTGTCCGACCATTGGGCTTAGACCAATATCTTTCAGATCTAAGGTCTAAGGCTTTGGTTTCTTGAGGGAAAATCGTGTCTGATAGTGTCTGATAAACTCCTCTCTCTCTCTCTCTCTCTCTTCGCTCTCCAACTATCATCATCCCCAATCCTCAGCAGCCACTCAACCGTTTGGCGACAAATTTATCAATTCATTAATTAATTCATGGGCCAATTGAGAATGGACTGCATCGCATCGCATGGGATGGCAGGGCTGGTGATATGCCGAGACTAATACCATAATTTCCAGCATGTTTACACAATCCATCTGGCTATATTCCAGCAAACCAAACAGATAGGGAGAGGACCCCCAAATAGAGGGAGGGAGCAAAGTGGAAAACGAGGGAAAAGAATGGAAATGGAAAACGACCAAGAGCAATCAGCAAGCGAAATCGTGGACTGAAGTTGCTGCCATCGATCCATAAAGGAAGTAAAGGAAAATCGTGAAAATCCGTGCGTGCGTTCGTTGAGTAAACAGGGGAAATGGAGAGAGAGATAGAGAGAGAAAGAGAGAGCAAGAGACAGAAAACTGTGAGGATGTCAATGTCCTGACATTTGCCAAAATGATTTCGATTTAATCGTTAGGAAATTCTTGCACCAGTCAGTCGCAAAATTAATTTCCATCAAACCTAATTGCTGCAGGCATTAGGATAGAGAGACGAAGAGCATTCAGTGAGCGAGAGAGAGAGAGAGAGAGAGAGAGGGATGGCATGATTTGTAAGGGGAAATTGTCAGCATATGCGTCAACACGCAATAATTCACCAGAAAAATAATCCAAACAATTGACCAGAGCGGAATCCCCTCTCCTATCTATGCCTTTGGCTAATGGCGAGGGTGTGTCCTCCCGGAGTCCCGTCTACGCCTCTGACTCTCGATTGTGGATTGTGCCTGCAGCAAGTGCCACATCCCCTCATCCTCACCATCACCATCACCATCACCATCACCCTCATGCCTCATCCCACATGCCACATGCCACACCTCCTCTAAAGCGGAGAGCTCTTTTGGTGTTTTGGTGCTAATTGAATTCATTGCCGCGTTTATCAAGTGCTGCCAAACAACAACAACAAATCATCCCCAGAGGCTAATGATACCAAAACGACGCCTGAGGCAGGAGGCACACAGCCTGACGACTTGCCAAAAACTCGGCAATGAAAATGCTTCGAAAAGTGTAAGAAGCGCAAAGGGGAGTCTAACTTAAAGGAGGAGCGGTTGCAGAGCGGATAGAGGGGAGGCTGGAGCGGGTGTTCCGATTGAGGATTCTGTTACCATCTCCTGGTGTCCTTCCCGCTCTTCCTGCAGTTATTTTTGTGCGTTGAATGCAATTAGAAAAGCCTATGCTGAGTTAATTGGCAAATTTAAGAGACCATTGAGGGTTCCCCACAAGGGTGAAGGGGGTGTGTAGGCTGTGGACACTTTGAGGGTTACGTTACAGGTTGCAGCCAGAGAGAGATTGAAAGTGCGGTAAATATTTGATGTGGAAAAAGGGGGAGTCCTCATGTTAAAGTGGATGAATCGGCAGAATTGGTGGAGAATGCAAGTTACAAATGGAAGAGTGGATTGAAGTACATATGTAGATCAGAAATTGTGGATAAATATGTAGAAGTATTTGATTAATGATAGTCCAGTCCAGATGTATTTAAAATGCAATTTAGATGTACTTAGATGTGTACTTCCTATAAGAACCAGCCCTTCTCTTAGGCCTCTGCCTCGTCTGTATCATTGGCACATCCATTAGATTGGGATTTGGGCCCCGAAGCTGCTGCAATTAAACCCGGAAATTCGTCGCATCAATTGTGATATCGGGGCCAATCAAGAATCTTCCTCCGCAGCCCCCTCATCCCTTTGCCCTGACAGTGCTGACAGAGCAAACAGCCATTAGCTAGATGGCTAACGAGCAATAACCGCTTACAGAGCACCCCTGCCGCCCTCCCTCCGATACCCAGATAAATGCAAATTTGACAATAATAAAATCCAACATATGACGATAATCGCACATATTTGACAATAAAATCGAGAAACGAGGAAAATTCGATTGAATATTAGCCGAAAAGTGCAACGCTGGAGGGAGGAGTGGTGGCATGACAAATCAGTAAAGCAAACATCACATATAACAAAATTAAGCATAAAATGTGATCATCTGTGTTGACATGAAGATCAAATTGGGACCAGAGCAACGACTGCTGCAGCGGCTCGACGACCCAAGAGGGTTGCCCAACAGGGGATAACCAAATTGTAACACCAGCAACAATGGCAACAAAAGTCAGGACTAGGACCAGGGAACACTAACACTAACAGGAACAGGAACAGGGAAGTGAACCCTCAATTCAAATGGCAATTTGCTGGGTGTTTGCCGACTCTGCTGTGCGTGTGTGTTTATAGAAATTATAACTCAAATTTAATTTGCAACAGATGCGACAATCAGGCATCGGGCATCGGGCATCGGGCATCGAGGCAGCATTCAAAGCAATCCACAACCCATCCCAAATCCAATTCCAGTTTTATGGTTTGATCTTTGCCACCCTTTTCTCTGCTGGGCACACATTTCAATGAAATTAACGAATTTCTCTGTGCTACAAATTACCCGCTAATAGCTCAATGAATTGAAATTAGGAAGGGATTGAACCTTCTCTCCCCTTCTTATTTTTCCCTCGGATATCCCTTTGTGAGCCGTGCTCTGTGCTCTGGTTCTGGTTCAACACATTTGGCCACTTCAAGGCAAATCAAAATAAAGCGCAGCATCAGCAACCGCAGGGCCCAGGGAGCACAGTGGGTCGAAACCGGGAGAAATAATCGCTGTAAGAGGTGCACAATAATATAAATGATCACGATTTCGAAGTATTTTTGAATGGAACTATCCCGAATCACTGTGCCACACACACTATCTCATCAATCCATTGTCTAATTCCATTGTTTATTTACATTGAAATGCCGTACGTGTTGGAGGGCCATCAGCAGAGCGAAATGAATTTTTATTAGCCCATCCAACAGCAACAAGAACAACAAGAAGCTGCTGCATAATAACAACAACCACAGCAACAGATCAAACATCCAATAATAACAATATAAGGCATACTTCAAGGCAAGGAAAGAACCAGTAAAGGCTCTTGTCGCTCATTCTGTTCTGTCTGTGAGAACTACTTTAGAATTACATACATACACACGTGATTAAGTGGACAGACGCGTTCTTTCTCTCCAATTCCAAATGAATTCACAATTTATGTCACTTTTTCGGATACGATGGGGACTTTGTATGATTTAATTGTTGGAGTGGACCATCGCATTGCAATTAAGGAAGAAAAGAAAGCTCAGCTTGGATAGGATGATCATACAATAACATCCATAAGACGAAATAAATCGAAAGTATTCGAAGAACACTTAGTAAATTAATTCGCAAAATCACTTCAAAAGATTACCCATAAACAATCCCTTACACCCTGCTCAAACAGCAGTGGATCCCAGGATCAGCCACAAGACTTCTTCGGTTATCAAAAATTGAAATACCTCGACTGATTTCTGGTCTGTGGTTGATAATATATTATATTACTCGTGTATATGTGGCTCGTCTGCTGGCGGAAATTGAGGCTCACCATGATTTTGTTCAATTTTCAGCCCAATCGAACATCCAAGTGCTCTTCTGTCGTTGTTCGTGTTGGTAAGTTGGCTACATTTTAATTAGTGAAATAATTCTGAAGTGATACTATAAATTTAGTCATAATTATTGTCTCAGCAATTAAGTTGATTATCTTCCGCACATTTTGATTTATTTGCAACGATAAGCTTTATCGCATGGCGCGTCCCCAAGAAATGGGCAGGAGTGGAGTGCGTTTTTGATTGGGGCATTCGAAAGTATTGTACGCGGGTCTTATGTGGCTTTCAATGGTTCTCTGTTTATGATTGTTGTCGCCTGCTGCTGTTGCTGTCTTCCAGCGAGTGTACGTATAAATTCGAGAGCATAGACAGCTTTTAAATCGAAAATAGATTAGATACAAAACAAAATATATCTGTGGCAGAGGGGGCTTTTTCGTAAGGTTTCTCATTCTTTGCGGTCTGTATTCAAATTAATTTCATTCGATTCTTCAAGCAGTCTCTTCTGGATTTGGACTTTTGGAACGAATGGCAGATTATCTTCCAGATCATACTTATGGGATTTTCTTTTTTCTTTTAGGTATCCATTTGTCTGTTTTTTGTCACTTTTCACTTTACGTATCACAACTTCTGTGTCTGCTTGCACTTTTCCATTCGTTCCACACCCAGTTATTGTAGTTTTTACGACTTTATTTCTCACATTTTCAATAAAAGTCCACCAACTTGAAGACAGTGACGTGCAGTGACACATTGTTGTCTCTTGATTGTTGGTTTCTTCTCGTTTCATGTTTTGTTGTTATTGCTGTAACTGTATTTGTGTGTGTGTTTGCTAATGTTAAAATGTTACACGAATTGCGTAAGCAAATTGTAAAACTAATCTCATTGAACGTAATTTAACGTAATTTATTGGCATTATTTAACTTTAGATTTATGTTTATATTTATATTTACTTATCGTTTATGTTGTCTAATTAGTTGCATGTTTATGTACAAATAGGGGCATGGATGGGATGATTAGTGGGGATCAGGGTGCGGGGTATAGGGGGAATAATGCATTTAATTTATATATTTCGCGTTTACATATATCACACAGTGCATGGTTTTTGTTGCTGCCCAAAAAAAAGAACGACTACAAATTTCAACAAATTGCGAAAATCGAAAAATATGTGGGTTCACTGATGGGTGGGACGGCGGTTTGATCGCGGCCTGACTAGAATGGATGCCCCTCCACCTCCTCCTCCTCCAGGGCATCCACATCCTCCTCCAATTCCATATCTAATTCCATATCCAACTCTGGGTCCTCCTCCTCCTAACTGGCCCCACTCTGAGGCTGATTCTGGTTCTGCTGTTGCTGCTGCTGCTGCTGCTGCTGCTGGGCCTTGGCCCGCTCCTTGGCCTCCTGCTGGGCCTTCTTGGAGCGCTTCCACTTCATGCGGCGGTTCTGAAACCAGATCTTCACCTGCGTCTCGGAGAGCATCAGACCGCTGGCCACCTCAAAGCGCTTCGGTCGGCTGAGATACTTGTTCTGCTTAAACTGCTTCTCCAGCTCCAGCAGCTGCTGGGAGGTGAAGGCCGTGCGAGGCCTCCGCGTCTTCCCCAGGATCGCGTGGTGCGGATAGGCGGCCAATTCGGGTATACGATGGTGGAGCATGCCAGCCCGGGCCAGGAACTCAAATTGCAGCTGCGAGGGCATAAAGTTGTGACCCATGGGGATCTGAGGGCAAACAAAACGAAAGCAAAGGAAACACACAGAAATTAGAGGCTGTTTAAGGGGATTATCGCAGGTTCAGATGCTTACCGGAATGGGCTTGCCGGATGGGTCTAGTGGCCGGTGGAAAGCGGATCCCCCTTGTGCCAGGAGCTGATACGGATGTCCGCCCGCGTACAGAGGAAAGTCTTGGGGTCTGATGGGGCTGTGCGGTGCCACGGGCTTCTTAAACTCGTCATGGAGATCGGACATGCGCATGGACATGTGATGGGGATGCTGGTGCAGGTGCGGATGCGGATGCGGAAGGCCGCCGTGGCCGTGGCCGTGGGTGTGCTGGTCCTCGCATCCCGGACTGATGGGCGGACTGGAGCGATGCGATGAGCTCGGTGACTCGGATCTACCAAAGAAGAGAAGAAGACAATACGCGATGGTTAAGACACCCTGTATAGGCAATTATCGAATGGAAATTACGCGACACTTTTTGAAAACAATTAAAGTGTCGCTGTGTCCCCCTTGTGATGCCCTCACTCCAGCCTTTTGTCTAATTTGTTTACTTTGCTACACAACTCGCACTTGAAAATTAGCCCCTTCACACAGATACGCACCCATACACTCGCACACTCGCAGCCAGAGACAGACACATGGCGTATGCGTAATCTCTTTGAGTGATGACCAAATGGGAATTGACCAATTGAAGGCTTTTTCCCAGTTTTCTGTTTTCTGTTTGCCGTTTTCCGTTTGGCATTTGGCTTTCTGCCATGTTATCGAGTGCTCCCAAAGCCGCTTTGGTTGTGGGGGCTTCCAGCAGGCTTTGTTTGTGCCTGGGACCCTTCAGGGGGATCTCTGGGCATCAGGATGGGTTTTATGAAAGGGAGTGAGTGGCAGCAAACCCATGCACTCGAAAGGATTACTTGTAAAAGTGAAGGGATTGGCCAAACTTCCAACTAAATCTTGCCTATTCCGTTCAATAGCTTCAATTAATTTCTCATTACGGTATCCATATGCATAAGTAATCCAATGGAGAATAATATATGTATAAATCGATCCCACAAAAATCTACCTATCGAAAGTCTTTCCGTATTTTGTGTGTACTCACCGTGACATGCCGTCGGGACTGGGTGAATCGTATTCCCGTGATTCGCGTATGCGCTGCAGTGCCTCGTGATCGCTGATTCCGCCGACGGCTGCTGCATGGGCTGCTGCCGCCTGGGCCGCTGCCGCATTGGAGGCGGCCACGAAAGCGTGGTTGAGCTCTGCCTGATCCCGGGCGGCGTAGTGCAGGGCGGCCAGGCGATCGTCGACGATGATGGGCTGGGCCTCCCGCTCACCCGCCTGGTGCTGGCTCTTGGCCAGCAGGGCATCGATGCAAAAAGATTTCTTGGGCTGGCTCTGGGCGGGCGGCGGTAGTGTCGTCATTTTCGTTGCGGTGCTGCTGGTCGTGTGGTTGCTTGATGGCTGCGGGGAGCAGGAGCTGGAAACGGGCGGTGGGGCTGCACCATTCACTGGCGCTGCACCATTGGCTGGCATCATCACAGCAGCTAGTGGCAGACGGGGCAGGGGATATCCTCCGTTCACATTTACCAGAGCGGAATGCGGATGCTGGACATGATGTGGTGCGAATCCCTCCACGTACAGTCGTGGATGCGTGGCCGGTGGCGGCGGTCCCTGTGGTGGCGGACAGCCCACGGGTATGGGCGCCACTAGAAGAGCCATTCCCGATGGCGTTGCACCTCCGGCGGCGGCCTGTTCCGTGGCGTGCTCCTGTCCTCCTCTGCCTGGACTCAATCCAGGAGCGTAGGCGCTCTGTGGGGATCCGGTTGTGGCTGTGGAGTGTGTGGGACTGGCGCCAACGGCCGCTGGACTGGGAGTGGGACTGCCCCTGGATCTGGGCGAGAGTGTGGAGTGGTTGCTGCTCTGATCGTAGTCGTGCGGCGACGATCTCTGGGGCGACAATCTCTGCGGATGGGGATGAGGTTGATGTGTATGGTGCTGGCTGATGGTATGGCTCTGGCTGGCGGCGGCTATGTGGCTGAGGAGCAGCTGCGACGGCATCGATAGCGCTGTGGTTGTCTGCGGCGGCGGCTGTTGCGACACTTGTGCACTGGACATGCTTTGCTTCTCTTTCTCTTCCGAACTAATTCTGTTTCAGTAGACCAGCACTTTTCTTTTCTGTCTTACACTTTGGCACTTGAACGCGCGATTTCGACTCTGTTTACGAATGTCGAAATTTCGAATTGTCGCACTGTGCGCGTCTGTTCACGTCTGTGCACGTCTGTTCACGTCGAAAGTTCATTAACGATTGTGCACGCCGAACGGTCTGCTGTGGAGTCATATACCGCTGGTCCGACCCACCACCACTAGCTAGCAGCACCAATCGCTCTCCCTCTCTCGCTCTCGCTCTCGCTCTCGCTCTGCTCTCTCTCGCTTTGGCTCTGGCTTTCAAGATGGAGTCTTTATCACCATGCTGCTGGTGCAAGAGAGATAGATAGCCATGCAGAAGTGGGCGTGGCCTCCTAGCAAGAGGAGAGAGCAAGCGGAATGGGTGGGTGGGTGGGTGGTCGGTTGTGTGTGTCGAAAATTTCATATAAATTGTTGGAAAAACGAGGCTATAATTGCCATCATTATGGAGTGTTGAGCAACTTACAAGTTCAACGGTAAAAGACGAAAGAATCTTCATAATCAACTTGAGTGCGACAGAGAGAGAGAGAGAGAGAGAGGGAGTAAGGGAGACTGATGGAGAGTGGAGGAGAGTCCGAATGAGTGGCAGGATGGATGTAGATATATATGTGCATATGTACATAGTATGTACGTATGTGGATACACGAGTGGGGCCACACTTCTGTCTGGTCGTAGATGATTAGGGCAGCAATTAAGGCACTCGAATGGCGCACATTTCGGGCTGAAGAGGATTCCATTCTTTGAAAGCTTTAAGTCTTGTAAAATCAATATTCCCCCACGCCTCACACTGCCTCTCTTTTGGGCTACGATAAATGGCACGATTCATTTGATTTTTACAGCTTGGTCGCTCATTTCGCATCATCCAACTGCTGGCTGTCCGCTACCGAGGCGTAATGTTTCTATAATGCATTTTCTGTCTGTCTCTGTTATGCTCTGTCAACCCATAGACGATCAATTTTATGGCCCACCCAAACCCCCACACACGCACGCACTGCGAATAGACCATAGGAGACGAATTTAATGTTCCCTTGATGGATTACTAAGTGGACATGAATGGGAGCCAAGTGGTTCCACATTGCAGATGGGACTATAATGGTTTTAGGTGTGATATGATATGGGGAATGGAATGGCATCTTAATATCTACACGCAAGCATACATAAATAAGTACGTACTAGGACTTACCGCAGTAAACATTTGTCATTTAGGGGTCTAGCTTTGCGAAGTGTAAATTAGCACTTGCACAACTCTTGCCTGAAGAGATCTGAAAATAACAATAGATATAAATTACAATTTAGTTTCGACTCTATATTTTTATTTTTATTATGGATTTTAGATTCTACTTCAAGACGAAGGAGCCAATAATTCGTTCTACTCTGTATAACTTCTTTCTATGCAAAGACGCCTAATTTGAGGTCCTGCACCTTTGCCAAGGCAAACAGCAGTGGTCCTCCAAGCAGCTGGCACCAAAACAATTCCGATTCGAAGAAAACAACTCCTTTACATATGTTCATACATATGTACATGCGTACATATGTATCTTGCAATGTCTGGACATTGGAAAGAGCCAGAGAAAGGGGTATTAGAAATGGAGAGTAGGAGTAGGAGGGGGGATGGGTAGGAAATAGAGAAGGAAAACTGTTCGCTTACAAGAAACGTGCCAAAGTGTATTTTCTTTGGCCACGTACACGAAGAACCATACTTAACCCCTTTCCCGAGTTCAAACTCAAGCCGAAACCGAAAATGTTATCCCAAAAACGAACTCAAAATTAGTGCGATGTCTGCAATGACGACTGATTGCTGTTGTTTCTCGTCCTCGTCCCCTCTTCCCATCTATCCACTATCTGGTTCTTATTTTGCTTTCATTATACGATATTTATCTACTCATCCACGTGCATTTAACTAACATTTATGGGGTAGAGTTCGAGGCAGTGGCAGTCGTGGACTGGACAGCGGGGCCCGGCTAGACATGACCTGGCAATGGTCCAAACGAAGGAGCACAGCATTGTTCTCTTCATATGATTTGTGTTGTTTCAGAATAGTTTATTTTATATAACATCACAAACAAGAGAGACTGGAGGAGGGAACAGTTGGATAGTTCATTTGTGCGAGTGGGTGAAGGTGTGAGTATTGGGGATTGTGCACTGAGACTGGGTTTGTTTGGCTGGTTTCATTTTGATTTTGGGAAAATGGTTGCGTAAATATGCAATTAGAGTTGAAATTTTGAATGGATAGCAGTCCATAGGAGTGCAGGTAGAACGATGAAAGCTGAAGGGTTACATTTTGGTGGTAGCTGTGGAACAAAGAGTGGTTCATGTACATAAATAAGTAAGAGCTTTAAGTTAAGTCTTGTACATATTATATGTTCTTGCAAGGGGAAATCGTTATGCTTCTTCAGAGAGTTGATACAAAACTCATGTTCAATCCGTTGAGCCCCTTTTTTAAGGGATAACCAAAGGGGACCCTTTCTGGCAAACCCCTCAAGCCTCATATTCGTTTCCAAAGACTTTCCCTTGAAGTAGCATCCCCCAGGCCTTTTTGCGCCATTTATTGCAAATGAACAATTTCTGTCATATTAGGCAAAACGCTAATCAGGCATTAAATTTGCCAGCAAATATCGAAATTGAAAACAGTAGAAAATACCAATAAAAATAAATTGTCACATATGCTGCTGCAATTTAGAATTTGTGGTCAACAGAGAGAGAGAGAGAGAGAGCGAGCACTCTCTCTCTCTGTCTCTTTGTCCCTGTCCCTGTCAGTAGCTATGTCTCTGTCGCTCCCTTGTGTCGTGTTAATTCAGCCGATAAGTGAACAATAATGCCAAAAAATTTCAACAGATTTCCAGAGGCCTTAGTTAGCTAAGTAAACAGCATTGAAACGTGGGCCAGCAGGAAAGGCAGGAGAAGGGTAGAGCCTGAGGGTTCAGCAATAAACGGAGATTGTTGTTGGGGGAGAGGCTGGCTGACTGGCTGGCGGGCTCGTGGAAAGCCTTGAGGGTTGATAGAGTTGACTTTGACACTTGTGTTTGTTATATTTAAACAAAACGAAGAACGAAAGGGATAACAAAGTGTAAAAGACTTGAAAACATTTTAAAAACAATAACCACAAAAGACAAGAGTGGAAAAGCCACCCTTTGAGAGAGGTCCCTCCATTAGCTACTCATTAATCACAGACCCACAGTCCCGCCCTGGAAACACACCCTTTCCAGATCCGATCCATGGCACAATTGAAAATTGAGCAAACATTGGTGTACAAATAATTGCAATTAAATTGCGTTATCAATAAATGATTTTTACAATTGAGCTCCGGCCATAAACAGCAGCAAAGATACACTCGAAAGATACACAGATACACCGTATCCATGGAGTGGATGCCATTGGGACATCATGTTGACAGAGTTGGCAGTCGGGAAAGGGGTGTCATCTTTTTATGCAAAATTATTACTGCACTTTGGCACTTATCATTCCACTGTTTTCCCTCATTTTCTGCGCAATATTTAAAGCAAACATAGGTGCCACAGACTGCTGGCTGATTGCTGACGATCGACTCTTGCCACACCATCTAAGGGGGTCAAATGTGACCAAGACGGTCTGACATCTGACTAAATCTCATGGCTAGTATATGTAGATTCCATAGCAATAAAAATGCCACCAATCGTCAGAACTCCAATCGCAGAGCAGAACGTGCTTCGCACTCTTTAAATGTTCATTATAAATCAACTAAAGTACACAATCAGACGCAAGGAGGGAGAGCAGGAAGAGGGCAGTACGCCATGGAATAAATATTTAATAATATGGCGATAATAAAGTATATTTCATTTATTGACACACAATTTTAATTGCACTTTTAAATGTATGCGGTAGTCCAACAGACCTACTCTACTTCACCCCACTATAAACCCCATATCTCTCGGCCCTGTCCACTGCCCACTGCCCACTGCCCACAGCCCACCGTCCCGTGTCCCCTATCCACTAGATAAAGTTTATAATTGAGTTGTGTATTTTTCATTAAGTGCGCGAATTGATTTGCTTTTCATATTGCTTTTTTATGGTAGGACTGTCTGTCAATTTCATTTTTTTTTTTTCTACTTGAATATTAAGGCGGATGAGTAAGGCGGATTTCCTTGGGACTTAGAGAGGAAAATAGTTGGCTGAACGATTTGCAAATTATTATTTTGATTAGCCAACGGGCTTAAGTCTCTTAAGCTTAAGAGGCAAGGGATTTATAGTCTCCCAATGCCCCTATTTTCCTTAGCTAAGCATCAACTTTATTTGTTTCAAAATATGTGCAGCAGTATATTTACAGAGCTCGGTCTTCGATGTACATATCTATAGCTTCTGTATCTGCATTGGGCTGCCTCATTAGCCTCGGCGCAAACACATTTCCATGTGCCAGACCACATCACATCACATCACATCACATCACAGCCCATGCCAACCCAAGACTTGAGTCAAATGTGTGGCAGATGCATCAGCAGCAACTGCAGGAGAAGCGCGGATCGGTGGTTTTGTTTGCACACAACTGAGATACTGAGATACATTTAGCTGCTGCCGTTGCGACATCCCAAGTTTTTTAACCTCAGTGCGAGGTCTGGCTGAGGTTGAGATACTTCCTGATACGTGGATTTCTTAATGTGGTGGGATGTGTTTGTGCGGGTAGCGCCAGACTAGGGAATGGGAAGGAGAAGGTACACAAACGTGCACTCTCCGATAAGAAGAACGCACGAAAATCGCATTTTGATTTGTATTTCGTATTTGATCAGATACACCGATACACACGAGTGTCTCGCCTGAGCCGGATTCCTTCCTATTTGCCATGCATTTTGTAATTGTTTGCTTAAGTGAATTCAATTGCCAGATAATGATTGTTGCTCCCCAATGCTTCCCTTTCTGCCCTATCTGCTCTCTCCTGTTTATTTGCCTATATGCACATATAGCGAGTACATAAATATATCCTCCTGCTGATGATATCAAACAATTCCTTTCTTTTTTTGTGTTATTTGCTTTATAATTTGTTATCTTTGCTCTTCCCTTTTTTTTTTTTTTTTCTTTTTACTCGCTCCTGGGATATTGCCCGAAGAAGCTTTCCAAACTTTAATTTCCATTCTCAATCAATTGCCTTTGACGTCTATTATGATGGATTAATATTCAATTATGAAATCGAATAAAGAAAGAATGAAAGGAGAGAGCTGCTTATCTCAGGAGCCGCCTTCGATTCGGACTCCTCTTATCGCTGGGTGGGCCATATATACCGCTAATAATCAATTTTCAATTAATTCAAAATACCCTATCAGCCCCCCGTCTGTCACCCTTCTGTACCTCTTTTAATTTATTAATATTGAAAAATTATAGAAATTTGTTTAAAGCCGTTTAAATGGTCGTCACATCACTCGAAAATTTAGAACTCAAAAGTCGTCGAGAACTCGTCGGTCGTAATCTTATCTTTGGACGTGGCAGCGATTTAATTTATATAATCAACTTGTTTTCATAATTAAAAAATATTAAAATTGTTTATTACGCACACGCACACACACACACACACACACACAGGAACACTTTCCTGCTGATAAGAACTAGTACATCCCCAACGGGATTGTGGATTGGGTTCAGTTCACTCTCTTTGGTTTTTCTCCTCCATTTGATTGGTTTCGCCCTTCCACCCCTTCCTACCATTGATTCCAATGGCTTATCTTGGCCTAATTGAAATTGCATTGAAATTGATTGATTTGCTCATAAAAGCGAGCGTTCTCCTCGCTTTACCTCTCTTTCCCCATTTGTTAATCGTTTTACTATTCGATGGGGATTAGCCCCTGGATTGTGGGTTGATTTGTTGCTAATTGAGAATGGGAGAATTCCGATCCCGTCGGGCAAAGGTTTCTACCTAAAAAGGATTGTAAATTATGAGCACTGAATATTGTAAATTGTATTTCGTTATGAGTAAATATCCCGAGTAAAGCGTTGGGCTGCCATTTCATGTGTTTTCTCCGTAGATAAGCCATCCCTTGATTTCGCATGTCGCATCCCAAGTGCCCCCCAGAGACCCAAACGTTCCCACGTTCCTAATTAGCCGACTGACTGTATGGCAGACAGGCAAATAAAATAAAGAAATGAAATGAAATCCAAGCAAATATCCAAAGTTTTTCAAAAACATTTAGCAATGTCAATAAATTCGGGCTTTCGGGGAGGCGCCTCGGGGACGGGTCGACGCTGCTCATATTAATCTCCATTAAAAGGGAATTTCAATGAATTTACGATGGGCGACAAA